TGTTGAAGTTATTATACGTACACCACTAAGGTAAATTAGACATGTACCAAGGTGTACCATGTAATATTATACCTTTATCACTGTACTTACATGTATAGTGCCCTTGGGTCAGCCACTTTATGTGGTAATATCACAGTATACGTAAACTGTGGTAATATCTCACGTCATATCTATCGTCAGTTCGAAGGAACCCGAACAAGTGACCCACGCAAAGCACGTGTTTTCCGGTACACTAACGCATTCTTTGTTGTTTACATCGAGAGAGATCTGAATGTATCCGAGAGGTGCCATTCTGACCCACGAGTCGAACATTCGTTAACTATTAATTTATACTAGCGTTTGCGTATTTTGTAAGTCACTTTTATGAACATTTCGAGTATTATTTTACGTGGCATTTGCATTCTGAGATTTTTACGAGTTGCATATACTGTCTGTGAAAGTTGAATTTGTTTTCAAGGATAATATTACCTGGCTGGACATCAAAAGAAGTTGTGAGTTCGAAAATGGGACTTAAAAAGTTTATATTTGACAAAGGTAACAATCGGTAAGAGAGTTTTGTATAAAGTAGTGTTGCTGTAAATTAATATTTACTAAAAAAATAATTCTGCAATTGACATTTTACAGACATTTGTACAAATACTTGCGAAGCATGGGTGTTCTCGAGGTAATATAAATGTATTATTTCTGTGTCATGTATTTAAATTTTGTTTTTTACTATTATTATTATATAATATGTAGTACATATTTGCATTTGAAACTTAATTCTGTGTAAGTAGTACATATTCCTTACTGGATATTGTCGAGAACTTATTCATTATGCCGTTTCAGGACCCTTGTGTAGTGACTGATGTGTTGAGTTACAATGAACAAACTTCATATCATATATTTTTGTTCAAAATTGTTCAAAACGTTGTGGAGTTTTGGTGAAGTACATTTTCACGTCTGTTCTAAATCGCCATCCCTCACTGCGCCTTCCAAAGATATAACTACGGTGTAAGTACATTAACTCTATTACTTTTCTCATTATACATGTTGAACACTGTAATTAACTCGTATAAATTCTACAAGAAGCATCCTTAGATTCTCTTATATTTAAATGTCAGAAAATATGTGCAAGATAATATGCATATTGTTATATTTTGCATGAAGAAAATTGAATACTCAAAGGGAAACACAAGTGTTGTTTTGAAGTGTTTTATTGACTGATCTTCATTATCTAGGTTCTACTTACTACTAACTTCCCTAACAATTCATTCATTCTTTTTATGAAAAATAGATTACAGCAAAGAAAAAAATCAGGATCGAAAGAAAAGAAAACTGTCAATCAAATATGGAACAGAACGCATGTACTTGCAGTTCTTCGAGATGTTTTAGGTGAGACAGGGTGTTTCTCCATTAATTCTTCTTAGACTAGCTTTCCTACGAATTGAAATGTCCTTCCTCATCACTTTGCAGACATCTCTGTCATGTGCAATTTTCTGCCAGTTTGTGCAATTTTTCAATTTCGACCCTGAATCTACAGTTTGCCTTCCTGACTTTTCCAACGACGTTTGGAGTAAAATCTGTCTCCATTTGCCCAGGAAGGTGTTATTCGAATTATATATGTAAATTGAAGAATTTCATTCAAGATCTACTTTTATTCTCCATCATGTTCTACTTCTTTTAAGGTTCCTCCATCAGAATACGTTTCTGTCACTTGGGTCTGGGTGCATTTTGAAAGTTTGGTTGTTTACGCGTTGTGCCAGGTCTTTTGCCAGTTCTTTGTGGTCAGTTATCCTGCTAGGTCAAGACGGAACATTCCAATACGTCCCCGGGAAGTTGTTTTGGACTGAGGTGTGGATAGTGGTTGTGGTTGTAGAGGTGTTAAAGTGAAATCGGGGTTAAAAGGAGCAAAGCGGTAGTTTGAAACAAAGGATGGCGATCGGGGCAAGACATGACTTCGATGAATCCATCGCCTGCGGGTAAGGATGAGGATGAAGATAGTGGAGAATCTTGTTTGAGGGTCCAGGTTTGCACTGTGTGGGCTTGTGCACTGCCGGTAGGCTCGGTACCTTTCACTTTCTGTCGGGGTCTCCTCCATTTTCATTTCTGCCAGTTCGTCTATCACGGCCTCCTTCTTAGTTCTTGGAGATATCCCTTGAAAACTCTCCTTGGAACACACACTAGTTTACATTCCCACGTTGTACTCACTATTGATTTATATCTCGGTCTTAATCACCGAAACTATACTTTGATTTTTCTATAGTGGCCGATGTCTTTAGGTCATTGTTACACCTCCTGCCTTATAAAATAAATATTTTTAATTAATTCGCGAACGTCCTTCTCAAAGGGACTCGTGGCCTCACAAAAGTGCCTACCACTGCAAAAAATATCCATTTTATAAGGCAAGAGGTGTAACAATCACCTAATGTCATCGGCCACTATATAAAACCCGAAGTATACAGTCACTTTATCGTCGCTTATTCACTAATAATAGTTTTCCATCAGTGGCCCACGCGTGTCAGTTTCTCACTACTATTTCATTGGTAGATTTCAGATGTGATAAGAGTACAGTTAAGCACTTGTTGAACAGTTAATCACGACAGTTTACCGCCTCTCTCTCACGATCACAGCTTTACCGTCGACCACTACAGCGCCTTCAGCTCTTAATTGCATACATCTTTATTGCATATAAATATCTATAATGTATGTATTATGTTTCCACCTTAAATAAGTCCATTTTGTCGAAACCTACAGATTTGAAAATAAATCGGCAACGCAATGGTAAGATCCAAGCTCAGTGGTGAGAGGCGTGTAAGAAACACATGGATGACATTTGCTTATTATTCGTACTATTGTTTTCTGTGATTTAAATATCGGGGTACTAAAGAATGTGCTTCTGCGGAATATTTGCATATTTCAGGCAGGAATGTACTGTTCCAAAATACACGCAACGAGCTGACTGAATTTGAAAATATACTGAATGCGTAGCATAATGAATTTAATTTCGTTTTCAATTCATGTATATGGATATTCCATTTCAGGTTTTACTGGATTGAGATACCCAGAAATTGGGTTAGTTACCTTAACATAGACAAATTGCATATTGTTCTTTTTCAATAACAAATGCAACTGCCTGTTTGAAATGCAAATCTGCAACGCAACCGTTCCTTTGTACACTTTTAATTTGTTATTAAGAAACCAATTTGAAACATCTGAAATGGAATTACATTTTTCTTTTATGCAAAGAATATTCGCGCCATCAGTCATCAGAAGTGTTCTTCCTTTTCTATTGGACGAGGCGACATCATTTACATAATTATGTTCAAAAGAAAGAGGATAGGGCCTAAGACCGAATCCTGCAGGACACAATGCTGGATTTGACAAAGAACTGAAAGGATGAGTAAATAATGTTTTTTCGTTCTAGTACAGTATTTCTACCCTTTGCGACAAATGTTTAAGGTATCCTATTTGGGGCAATTCCACGAATTTACGTGAAGGTAATTTTGAAAGCAAAATGTTTGACGTTAAAAGCTTTCGACAAATCTAAAACATTTCCAGCAAGTGCTTCATTTCGATCCATTGGTGAAGCAACATCTTGAAGAAAAGAAAAAATGACCGTTTCGGTAGATTTTGGTTTTCTACGTCCATGTTGAGAATTTGACGTTTCGTTTTTCCTGAGAAAAGTTTCCCTATCATATACAAAAAATCTATAATATTGTTTTTAGAAATCTGGCAAAAACGAAATTGGCCGATAACTTCGAATTTCATTTTTGTTCTCTTTTTTTAAAAAAAGTGGTTTAATTTTTGCTGTTTTGAAAATATCTGGAAATAGACCCGTGCTTAAAGAAGCATTGAAAATGTGAGTTGGTATGAATATAAAGGCATAGAAGGTAGGCCCACAAATTTCTTAATAAACAAACTGCTTATTCATCCAAACCAGCCGAATATATACAATTTAATTAAATTAAGAAAAAAAATCCATATCTTTAATATTTTAATTGTAGGAAGACTCCGAAAAAATCGAATTTTTCCAATTTTCAAAAAATGACGGCTTTAATTAGTGTGACACCTACACCATTCTCTTAGACGTCCTTCACACTATTCATCAACAATATTTAATCAAAAACGATGTAGCAATTTTTTTGAAAATTTTGAAAATGCCTCAGGGGCCTAAGGTAAAGTACTCCCCAAAATTAAAATATCGGGTTCAAATTAAAGGACCCGCGACATCAGCCAGATCTATTGGGCAATATCAATATTGAAGAAAATAAGCTGAACAGCTAGCGTTGTTCACATACGGACGGACATTACATTTTGCCGTCATTCGATTTTTCGCCATGAAGTACCCACAATAGATGGATTCTGGCTTCACCACGTGTTAGAGGATTTTTTCTAAATTTAACAACTGGATTTATTCACTTTTTCGTCTCCAGGGCCCTGTAATAAGAGTTTTTCTATCGACAATTCGCCGTTTTTTCGCGCAGCTTTACTTAAATTTATCTCTACTCCGTAGCGAGAAAGTAAAAATAGAACCCCAAAAAATATAAAAGGTAAAGAAAATATTAAAGGTCAAATTAACTAAAGCTTAAATATTACGATGCATAATTTTAAATTATTAACATGTGTAATATAATTTAATAATACACAAATATTTTAAAATCTCGTCATTTGTGTGCGAATTGTCGTGGAATGGAGCACTGATACCATCAGTGACAAATGCAGGGGGCATAGCCCAAACCAACATATTTGTAATTTTTAGTCGTCTTATTCAAAATAATTACTTTACATGACATCAGAATCTGTGTTCCCATTGTGAACACATTTTTTTCTTCTTCCAAACGATCTTTTTTTTAATTAGGTAAGTTTGAAAAAATGAAGGTTATCTGAAATGAAATTCTCCCTCCCCGAAATAATTTCTGAATAAGTAACTTAATGCCGTAGAGCCCATCAAAATACAACTCGTGTTGTACGCATGAAGACTTGCGAACCTTATAGTTTTCATATTGTAAGAAAAGGATCTTTCTTTCACCGGGCAAGCCTTCCTTGATAGGCGCTAGGGAGCACTGAAGTCGGCGCAACAAAGCCGTGGCGGCGGGAGCTGCAGACCGGTCTTGCCCGAGCAGGCGACAACTGACGCTTGCCAGAGAGCCGCTCGCGAAGCGTCGCGCAGCCTGTCAGCCGGTCTAGCTGGTCGCTGCTGCTGTTTCTGCTTGATCCCCATGATCTTATTTGAGTCCTTGGCTTGCTTGAGTGTGACGTCATGATACCTCCCTCTCTTCCTTCCATGTGTGCAGCAATACACGAGGATGTTTTTTTGTGTAAATTTGTGTGAGAATCTCGCGTGAACTTTGCACGCGACTATATCAACTAAGTTAGTTCATCAGAATTTTGCATCTCGTCAAGATGGAAGTGCCCTTAGGGTAAGAACGTTATTTATGTTTTTCCGTAAAATTTGAGGTTAGAAGTACTGAACACATGTTTCAGAAGGTTGAAGGTGAAATATCTATTGTGGAGAGGTTCTTTTATTAGCATCAGAGTGACATCGTTCCAAGTCACCTAGAATTGCTTTGTCGACCTTGACTACTCTCCAAAAAGTTTTAATTATGGAGCCTTTCTATAGGCATGAGTTGTGTGGTCAGTCAATTTATTGGTTTGATTTGTAGAATTGCACCTGGATGGCTTTTGCCATACTTTATGATTACTCTAAAGTAGAAGTTAAGTTATATTGTATTGAGATTTTATTGGGAGGTGATGGGTTGTGTTGAAATTGGCAAAGACTCCTGCATGGGATGATGGAGAACGCTTGCAAATTGTTAGTGTGTAATGAAATATTATAGGTTGAAAGTTGGATTGATTTTATATGTCACTCTTGCAAAAGCTACAATAATTTATTTGTTGAGTAATGCATTTCTATATATGACTTTTGATCAATTTTCATCCAGGAATGGCCTTATACTTGGGATGGGTAATCCTTTATTGGATATCACAGCATCCGTTGATGCAGAATTCTTGGAAAAATATAATTTAGAACCAAATCATGCAATCTTAGCTGAAGATAAGCACAAACCTCTATATGAAGAGATCGTGGAGAAATATAATGTGGAATATACTGTTGGTGGAGCTACACAGAATGCACTAAGAGTTGCTCAGGTGGGTGAGACTTTTTTTGTTTTTGATTTGTTTTACTAAATGCAGTTACTGGAGGATAGTTTTCCAGTTATGGTATTTATGCTAGGCATCTTTGAAACTTAAACATTTCTTGTACGTTCCCAATTGTAAGAAAGTGATAATTCTTTTAATTTGACAGTGGATTCTTAATCAGCCAAATGTAAGTGTATTTATGGGCTGTGTTGGAACTGATAAATTTAGTAAAATTCTTGAGAAGAAGGCTCGAGAGGCAGGAGTGGATGTTCAATACCAATACACCTCAACCCAGCCAACTGGTATGTTGTGCATAATACATAATTAAATGAGAAGAAAGCATGTAAAAAAAAGTGATAAATATGATAAACTGGAGTAAAATTTGCAAATTAAAACTTGAATCAAAAGTATTTATTGTTAATGAAGATTGTGAAAATTCATTGTTGTATTATTTGATTTGTTAAAAAGTGTGTATAAATGTTTCAAATAGGTGCATTCCTATTTGACGAACATGTTTAAAGTCATTTTCTTTTTCTTTCCAATACAGCAACTTTGCTATTAACCTTTCATAAGATTTAGAAAACTTAAAAAATCATTTCAGTTTCTAAATGGTAAAATGGACTTCTGGTCTTAATGTTCTTGTTGCATAAAATGGGTGTGAAGAATTCTTAGTGCTATATATATAACAAATTTTGCTGTGGAAGAAGTAATGGTATTTAAAAAGGTTATTATATAATTCATTATTGAAAGTTGCCTGGGACCTTTCAGTGCTATCTTCCAAATCTGTCTGACAACCTAAATTACATGAGCTCTCATATCCAGGGCTCAATTTTGTTCAGACTTCGAATGTAATTTCAGTAGAAGTATATAATTGAGTATGACGTGTATAATTTTGAACAATATTAGGTAAACTAGTCATGGTCATTGAGAGAATGAAAGTTTGTATAATGAAAACAAAATATAAATTGTTCTCTCTTGTGCTACTGCACACAGAAGCTATTTTTGAAATAGTTGTAAAACTTACTGTAAATGTAATCTCACAATTAAAAAATATTCACTAAAGTTCGTGTGATCTATTGATAAAGTAGGTAAGAAACCGGATACATGTATTTGAAACATATCCTGTTTAGGGCTAACAATTTCAGAGAAAAAGGAAATGTCTTTGAAATATCCACTTGCAGTGTAAAAACACCAAGAATGTATATTTCATTCTCGAACTTGACTTGAGTTCAAAATACCATGTAATAGCAATACATTTTGTACATGTAAGAGTGTGCAAATAGAATTTCTAAATTTTTAAGAGAAAAATTAAAGAATAAAATGATAATTGTCTTTTCAAATCTCTTTTGTTTGGTATTAAGTTCTACTGGTACTATTTTGTTGGGGTTTAGATTGTTCATAAAATGTTAATTTTGTTTAGAATGATCTGGTTTCTAATTTCCCATCTTCAGACGTTTTTTAAATTTCATTTGCTGCCAGGTATCTACAAGAATTTTCTAGCTTTGAAATTCATAGAAAGTTATAAACCACCTTTACTCTTCTTTTTTGAAAGAATTCTCCAAAGTGCATTAATTACCCTTGGATTGCCTACATTTTTTCATATTTCAACTCTATTTTCATAGGCAGTGTATGAAAAAGTGTGAAATCTCCAACACATTTTATATTGTTTCTATTGATTATTTATAGCAAAAGAAGAGTTAATTATTTATTTTTATAGATATATTAATTAGAAGTCAAGCCTGCACCATTCAGTAAGCACATGCACAAATTTCTTTGCAAATTTAGAAACGCAAAATTCATTGAAATGCCACTAGTTCTTTTTAATGTTTCCATGTTTCCTGTATTGTTCCTGGCAGGTACATGCGCTGTTCTTATCACCAAAGGAGGAACCCAGCGGTCACTTTGTGCAAACCTTGCTGCTGCCAACTGTTTTACTGTTGATCATATCAATAAACAAATAAACAAGGAATTCATTAAAAATGCTAAGTACTTCTACATATCAGTAAGTGTGTAATTTTTTTTTATTATTTCATTTGCTGATAATAAAAAATTTATGCATCGAACTACATTATTGCTCGCTTATTTACTGGAAATATGCCAAGCAGTTTAAAAAATATTCAATTAAAGAATCATATTACACTGAAGATTGTGTAGAACTTGCTCCTCTTACTCCTCCTTATTTTCGTTTTGTGTGGTATTGTAAATCACTGACTTCCATTAAGAAAATTATATATTTTTTTACAATATTTAAATTAAGGGGGTAAGTGTAGATTTGATAATGAAATTTTAATTACCATTTCTCATTTCCCTCTCAAAAAAACCATCAAATTAACGTAAGAAAAGAAAATAGAGAAATGATCTATGGTTCTATGGTGCCCATCAGTGATCCATCAGAAAAATATAAATTCAAATGATGAACTACCCGTAATATGTACATTCTGGCCAGTAGACTATTTGTTTTTTTGTGTCTGTTTTAAAACAGTGGTGGATCACCAAATATCAAATTGCTGCAAAATGTATTCTTCCGCCAGCCATATGGGCTGAAGCAACAGCTGTTAATGTCCCAAAGTGCTAGTGCCTCAATGCATTTAGTTGGATGTTACTAATAGTTTTCATGAGAAATTTGCTTTGTTCGAATGTTGTTACTAGATTATTGTAAGCATTAGATGAATCTTGTTGAAAAGCAGATGGGAATACACAAGTTTGTGAATTAGGTCAACCAATAGACAAACCAGAAATACTAAATTTCTAAGAATGCACATTGTTTACTTTCATTTAACTTCAGAATAAACCAAATTTTAATCACATAATTTTGAACAAGGATTCAAAGCACTTTTCGTGCATTCTAGCTGCATAAATACATAGATGTTAAGCGTCCTTCAGTTGCAAGATAAAAATAATAGGGAGTAAAGAATCTTGCAAGTGTCAAGAAAATCACATGACTGCGCAGACAATAAAATTGATGAAAATATTTGTAAAAATTGCCTTTCTATTCCACATTTTTATTTGTAGCTATTAATACTTGAACATATATCTAAAAACATCATCTATTACAGAAAAAATTGTAGAAACGTGTAGAAAATGTTAAAATAAGGATTAAAATTTTTTATCAGTACTTGTAATGTCAAAATGTACTTGTAAAATTTTAGGTAAAAGCTTCTTTTATGAGCTCAGTTATTGATATTGTAAAAATTAAATTTACAGGGCTTTTTTCTGACTGTGAGTCCGCCTTCAATTGTAAAAGTTGCAGAAGAAGCTCTTTCAAGAAATTGCCTTTTTATGATGAACTTAAGTGCACCATTTCTCTCACAGTTCTATAGTGAGCCAATGATGCAAGCTATGCCATATGTGGATATCTTATTTGGCAATGAAACGGTATGTTACTCATGATTTTATTGTATATTCATGTTAAGATGCGCATTAAAAAAAATAAGGAAGATTTGATAAAATATGTCGGAATACTGTGTTTAAGATATTGTTCCAGTTTCATGTTCAAGTCTGTTTTCTGTTAAAAATATTTTCACTTTATATTTTTAATTGATCTTTTTTAAAACTTATATTTACACAACATACTACTTTATAAATATAAAATATTTAGCAGCCTTATTATATGAAGGTTTTTCCAGTTAATAATGTGGCATTAAAATTATTTTAATATTTAGATGTATGTATCCACATTGCTCTAGGAAGCAGAAGCTTTTGCCAAAGCACAGAAATTTGATTGTACTGATTTGAGAGAAATTGCCTTAAGAATAACACAATTGCCCAAGAAAAATTTAAAACGGCCAAGAATTGCAATTGTTACTCAAGGTCAAAATCCAGTTATCTTGGCGAAAGGTGAGTTGACATTTAATAGTACTTAAATATTAACTTTGGAAATGAATTCAGACAGCCTTTTCTTGCATGTACTAGGTTTATTTCTGATTGATTTCCTATGTTTTTCTGCCAAAGAGGTTAATGCTTTAAAAAAGTAATTGTGTCCTTTACCACAAATGTGTAGCTATTTCTATATATGACATACTTATTATAATAATTACTTGCCTTATTATATTTTGCAAAATTCACCTCATTTATGTAATTTACTTCTATGATTAACTTCCATTAATGGTGTTGCCTTGCCCTGTGTTGATTTTAATTCTTTAGTACTAAACGGGAAATCTGTTATTTCACATGTTTTAACACAATTTCAGTCATCGTCAATTGTCTGTTCAAATACCTTTCAAATAATACCATACTTTTCTTAAACGGCTCAGAACTTAGGCAGGGAAAGGAATCTTTCCAATGGAAGAGGTATATAATATGCACAAATTTCTTACTTTATGAAAAATGCCAGGTGATTGATTTTTGGAAAGTACAGTTATAGGGTAGTTGTAGGGAGGCAGTTGGTAATATCAAGATAATATGTGCATTCTGCTCGAGGATGAACTCTGGCAGAAGGAAAGAATAATATATTGAGAAAAGCGGCACAGAGTAGTGAAAAAGTCAGTTCTTTAAGGCAATTGTCTACTTAATGGGGGTGTACATAATTATTACATTTACAGATTTAACACGTTGACAGCCATGTTGCCGCCGCTGGCCACAGTGGTGACTACAATATGTTGTATTACTGATAGTAGGATAGATCATTTCTGAAAAGTTGATGCTCTCTTCCATTTTCTTGTAATTATTTACTGTGTAAATTTGAAGAAATTCTTTCAGAAAATTTAAACTAGTGGTGCTATGGAATCATGATACATAACATTATTGAAAGAACTTTTTATGAGCAAAGAATTTCATTGGAAGGAAAAGTCTGTCTTTCATTTTGTAGTTGTAGATGATGCCGGAAGTAATTCAAACTTTTGATATTTTCTAAAGCTCTGAGTTAACCGTGAAAATCGGACCTACACCACCTTTATAAGTGTATCTTACTCTATTTGTACAAGAAATTTAACGAAAAAAATTTGAAAATTTGTGGGGGGCTTCTAGTAAAGTACTACCAAATTTTAAAGTAAGTTATTCAAAATCTCCGATTCAACTCTAGCCAGAAGGTCACGGGATTCTTAAATTTGGAATATTTGAATAGATGTTTTGGAAAAAAACAAACAACTTCTTCAGTATCAGGAGATCCTGAAACGTGTATTTTCATTGAAATCTCGAAATCTCTTTTTTTTTTTTTTTTTTTTTTTTTTTTTTTTTTTTTTTTTTTTTTTGCAGCATTACATAAATTTCCCTATTACTCCATGTATACATACGTATACAGAAAAGTAATAATGTTTTTAGTTTAGCCAGAGTATAATACTCAAAAGTAGTGCATCAAAACAAAACTTACAAAAACAATTTCAATAGGGTGAGGAACCAAAACAGTTATTCTTTCATTGTGTGTATTCCTGACAATGGAACTGAATGAATCAGTTTGTTTTTAAGATCTTCATAATATCATGTAACATGGTATGTTAGATTTACGTTTTGACAAATAATTCAGTCCAATTGTTTCAACAAATAGCTTAAAACTTCTAAATTTGTACATTGTGTAGTATTATCATCCCTTTTGAAGTTATTTAATAAAAATATAGAGAAATTTTTTCAAAACCGTAACAAAAATAAAAAAAGCATTTTGCTACCAAAAAAATCTTAACTAAAATTTGTTTATTGCCGTAAGTGTTTATATTATTTACTGAAACTGGAATTTTATTTGAAACACTTTGATACATTACGTTACACCTCGTTTAGAGAAATTTAATCATGGTTTTACTTTAAATCTTATTATTGTACTATAAAATGCCTTCATATTACATTTGATGATTTTTTGATTTTGACATTTGATGATTAGGAACGTTTTTAGAATATGAGCACAAATTGTGAAAAATAAAACATTTTCATTAAGTTTTATTTTGCCTTTTTAATGTAAATGCATCTTTAGTTATTTGTTGTCTTTGAAAGTATATTTAAAAATCTTCTTAGATGAAAAACATTTCATTAAATAAATAAACTTTTAAATAATTTTCAGTTTCCCATTTATTTTCTCTCAATGTCAAACCTTCATTTCCTTGTGTAGACTCAATGTCATTTAAGTATCCCTGACACATTCTATGTCTTAGGAGTTCAAAACCTTGCTTTTCTCGCACTTTGCGCAAATAAAAAAAACTAAGCGACGAGTCTTGAGTGAGTGCTGGTCTTTGATTCAAGATACAATTCAAAGAAAATAGACTTATGAGGAAATCTTGACTTTGGAAATAGATATTCTATCTCACCAGATATTCCAAGAAGGTAATATAAGGAAGGTTCTATTAATTCAATGAATGAAACATTCAACCACTTTTATATTCACCATTTCATTACAAGAAATTAAACTGAAATGGCACATGCAGCCATGATACGTATGAGAAGCTATAGTTTATTGCTACTTGGTTGCTGGAATCTTTGCCCCATATAAATGAAGCTGAAGTACAGAACAGGTCAGAGCAGGTGAAAGCTTTTGTGAGCATGTGTGTGTCATGTGAAAAGTTGCCAATTTTCATTTTTATTATTGGTAATTCATTGTACTGTACACAATCTTCCTGAAAGAGGTGTCATTAAAGGAGGAATTTAGAAAACTGCTAAATTCTTAGGGCTCTTTTAGAGAGGTTTCACTGTAGTATATTCTGGCTTTATTTGTCATTGATAAAATCAAACATGTAATGGAAAGAGAGTATAAAATGCAGAATGATGATTAACTATTATTATTTGTAACAAATATTATATTTTGATTTTTTATATTTTAATGTATGGAATTGTTCTCATTAAATTGATGAGATGGGCAATTGCTAGTAATGGTAGAATTTAGTACTTCAATTTTTACGAAATCACAATTGGAAAAAGAGGCTATAGTATTTTGTAGCATTTGTTGAAAAAATTATTATTAAGGAAGGACTGTTTGAGATAAAATTATTTTATACTGTTTAGATCTTTCCATTAAAATCAGGAAATAAGAGAAACTAATTTAATATTTTGCCATTGTTAACTTCAACAAATATAAAAGCATTCATAATGTGTGCGCCTTCATCGTAGAGCTTCCCTCATCTTCTTGAGACCTTCATCGAGCAAACTGAGTAAGTTGAAACTTCTTGGGACGACCTCGAGCACTCAGGCTTTCAGGATCAGATTTTTAAGGTTGCTTTTCAACTACTAGGTCATGTTACAACCAAGTAACTTTGATTGTTTACATTGGAGTAACTGTTGGGGGAACACAACACATAAGGACACACAAACATCCATGCCCAAGGCAGGATTCACACCTGCTACCTTTTGAGCCAAGGCAATCCTGGCCTTACAGCATTAGTGACCTCAGCTATCCTGACCGGATATTTTTTACTTTTTGTCAGTTAAATCATAATTATGAATTAATAAATTTTATATTATTTATTATGTATAATAAATTTCACCTTGTTGTTGGAGAGGCAATTGAAAATGTTTTCACATGCTAAAGGTCATTCTTGTAGTATTCTTGTCACTATATAAAAAAAATTGTATACTAAATAATTCAAATGGTTCACACAATTAGTCTTGGTTCAAAGAATTTTTATTATGGCTTTGCAAAGCATAAAATTTTTTAAAAAGAACTCTACTGGAGGCACCATGGTAAGCTAGTGAATGTATAATACTATGCAAGCAATCAGTATCTATACAATGTGGGATCACTCAAAACTAAAAAAAGTTTTTATTGGGTATGAACATTTGTATTCCTCTTCCCCACTTGCACTATTCCCCCCCTGGAATCCTAGTAAAAACATAATTTAATATTGCTAGTGTAATAGAAAGAATACACTACTTTGTTATTAGTTATGTAGGATCCTATAAATTGTTCTGTGGTAAGGTTGGTTTCTATTCTGTTGTAGATGGTATTGTGAGTGAGTTTCCAGTACCACAACTTCCTCCTGCTCGTGTTGTGGATACAAACGGTGCAGGAGATGCCTTTGTTGGAGGTCAGTATTGCTTATAATCATTTTTGAATTTTGATTATTTTTCTCTCTTTTTTTCATTTCTTCACTTTCTCTTTCTTTCTCTCTCTCTCTTTCTCTCTTCCTTTCTCTCTCTTTTTCTCTCTCTGTTCTCTTGTGACTGGAAAATATTACATTCAATTACAAGTAACACAGCCTACTATTTAATATTGTCCAATCTCAGTTGGATTTGTAATTGTTAAAAAATGTGAACATTGTTAGTATAATCTTGAAGAATTAGGAAACTTGTATCAGTGTTAACAAATAGTCCATAACTATGTTAATCATGTACAAAAATACTAAATAAGAAGACAAATGACTAATTATTTGATTAAATTCAATCAAAACAATAGATTAATTTTCTTAACTTTGAGCATGAAATGCATGCTGAAAGATGCTGGATTAAATTGATTTACTTGGTTAGGAACATATGTGTGAATATGTTGTTGTATATTAATTGTGTCCATTTGTCCTTTTGTTTTAATATGTATGTAGTATATTAATTATTATATAATATTGCTTTTCTTAGACTGCTTTTGAGGGTTGTGTATACCTTGCTTAGTGTTAATGTTCGTTAGCCAGTTTTCTGATGGTTATTATGATGTTCTCTTTCTTAAATATCAGCAATATTTCAATGATAGTTCCGTTAGTAAATTAAGTGTCAAATTTGTTTTATTTCTGAAGAAAATTAGTCTGGTATATTTCTAGTGAAATTTTATCTGCCTTAGGTTTTCTGGCCCAGCTGGTCCTGGGCAAACCATTGGAGACTTGCATACGTTGTGGTATTTGGGCGGCTACAGAGATTATTCAACGCTTCGGTTGTACTTATGAGGGCAAATGTACATTTACTGAGTAGTTGCTTAATGTTGCTAATACATAGACCTATTTGGAATAGTCCAAAAAAGGTTTAATGTATACAAATCGAGAGATAGAGAATTTTTGCACGGTGTTCATTTTACTGTTCTGGAAGAACTTATACTTTATTATGCAGAATCATTAATTTAGCACATCATGTGTAGTATAAATGATTATACATAAACAAAATCTGTGTAAATATTTAGTATTCACTTGCTCTGGTGCTCTCTAATAATACTTAATATAAATAATATACTTAAAATTGAAAATAGATTACTTATAATTCTAGATGTTAATTTTGTGACATTTCTTTCTGCTTTAGGATTACTTTCACATGATACATCAGATATTGATGTGACTTGGTTAAGAAAAAAAAGAATTTAAACATTCTGTTATTAAGTGTCAATTTTTATATAAATTTTTAAGGTCTTTCAAAGTTTGTATGATTCATTCACACAAACATAGAATTTTATTTTTATTGGAATAAGAATTGTTTGCAGAGAGAGAAAGTGTTTGCATTATGAATTCTGTGAAGTTGTTTAAAGGTTATTCTGTAGAATTCATAATTAAAGACAATCTTGAATATTCCTTATTCATTTTTATTTTAGTTGCTCATTTCACTATAAGTAGTTGGTATTTGGACTTATGTATGCATATGTGTGTGTGTGTAAGCAGTATGAAACTGAATATGAAGGAAATGAAAGAATGTTTCCAAAATAGTTCAGTTGTGCGGTTCTTTCTTTGTAGAAAATACACCTGGCAACTGCTTATTTTCTTTATCTTTGCTAGCAACTTGTTAGAAGTTAATTTCTTTTGCCTGAAAAATGTATGAACTTCAGATGATTTTACCCACATGATTTTTGTATTCACAAAACTTAGGTTTCTTGTTAATATCTGGATCAGTATTAATGATGAGAAAGAATATATTTATTTTATTAAACAATCTTAAAATCCTTTTAGAAATATTTCTATTACTTACTGACGAATTTTTTTATTGATTTATAATGGATGCCATAAGAAAGCCTTCTAAGAATTTATTTTCTGAATTCTTATTCAATATCCTCAGGCCTTTATATCTTTATTAATATGTCATGTTATTTTGAATCATAGAATATGATTACACATTTGTAATATTTGCCCCTTAGTATCTTATTAGAATGCCCAGATTCTTGATCATAATTACATTACTAATAAATGTCACTTTAAAAAAAGTGCATAATTTTTCAAACAGTGATACTCACCAGTATTTGCATTATAGAAATCATTATTGGAATTATTCCAAGTTCAAAAAGGGAATAGGAAGTCACATAACATGCAATATAATTTTTTTTTTTTTTTTTAATGTGCAGGTATCTTATAAAGACAGAAAACAATCCAAAACTTAGTTCTTGTAATAAAACTTTTCTTAAATCTTGTTTTATGAAGTCAGAAGTATTGTTTATTAGCCATAATACTCTATTAAAATTTTGCCACTACAATATAATGTTTTCTACCATTAGTTTGTTGAAGAGTGTTCTTAATGACAATTCTCAACAGTTAAATGAACATATTTCTGAAATGAAGTTAATATTAGGTGGGTAAAATCATAGCTTTTAACAAATGTAAACAAATTTGCACAAGTAAAATGTTTTGTTAGATAATATGTAAGAAGTGCGTTGATCAATGAAAGTTTCATTATAAACTTCAGGAGAAGCTCAAATATAGTGAAATTTCTGCAGTTGCCATTAGCTGAGGTTTGTGCAATTAACTTTTGCTTGTAAACAGAAGAATGAAAGTGCTAAGAAATATAAATTTTTGTAAACAAATTTGTTACTGAAAGCAACCAGGCAAAAACACAGATTGTGTTGTTTTGTAAACTTTTAATTCAAATTGTTCTTTCCTGTGAATGTGCTATTTTCAAAACTTGTTTTACAATAATGTGTGCAATTATTTTGTTTTATAATGTTATTTTTTGTCTCGAAGTTAATAGTTCCTTTAGAATAACATTAATGTTTTTGAATCTCGTTAAGATAATTTCAAGTGGATGTAGCACATTTAGTTTTTGACATTTCACACATTGCATATAAAACATTATTTATCCAATGTGTGCAAGATAATGAACTTCAATAGGATGATTTCTATTGGGTATTATGATCAATTAACACAGTATATTGAGTAGAATCTGTGCAGGAATTCTCTATCATTTTAGAGTAAATATCTGAAAGCTTTGTTTTAAATTAGTAGGCAATACTACTCAGCCTATGAAATAATAAATGTAATAATACATAATATTTTGGGCATTGTTACTTAAATTGAGAAATTAAATGAATTCATATTTAATTATTGTGTTTGGTGAATTGTGTGTGCTTGTTCTTGTACTGTAATTGAGTTATGCGAAAATCAATTGAGCTCCACATATTAATAATATGATATCCACCAATAGTGTTCAGTGTCATGATACCACTGTGATAAAAGATTATTTGCTTGAACATTTATTTTTTTACTGTTATGAGCATTCTGGATATTTCATATTACATCAGCAAACAACCATATTCACTACAAGGTGGGATTTAAGTGCTGAATTGAAGACGTATACTTTACTTTTGTGTGAGTCACCTCTAAATATTTCAAACAAGAAGGCTACTTTATTGAATACTTCTCATAAATAAAACAAATAAAAGTAAAGGAAATGTAATAAAGCTATGGGATGTATCTTTTATTTAATAAAATGCCCTATTTTGTAATTCTTATGATTTATACTTTTGCCTTTTAGGCAAGTGTTTTCATACCCTTGTTTGCCCACGTAAACTTTTTAAAATTACAAATAATAAGAGTTCCGAACAGATTTCTAATAGTTCTGAGTTGTCAATAAATTTCAAAATGAGTTTTTGGGGGAAGGGTAACCAAAACAAAAATTTCGTGACAAAATCACACTATGGACAAAATATCAAAAAATATTTTTTTTTTTTAGAGTTCCACCTAATATCACAATAGTTGTAGAGTTTGTAATAGGTTTTATTGCACTTTGAAAGATCAAAATAAAATTAAAGTGTCCCCTTGATTTTCTCAGTACAGTTGTATTATCTAAATTGTATTAGAATATTCTGTGGGACTTCTTTCCTGCAACATTGAACTTTTGTAAATTGACAAAGTTAACACCCTTTTCTGCAAAAATTTGAAAAGAGGTATTTTCTTTATCATAACTTTCAAAATAGTACCTGTATTATGACATAACTTTATTAGAATTCTTTATTCTTCAGAACTCTCTACCATGTACCAAGAACTTGTTCAGCTTCATAACATTACAATAAAATTATTTTCATATGTTCATTAAAAAATCTCTACCCACTAAACAGAACTGTATGAACTAATGCAGCCCTAAAAATATTTCATCATAATCAACAATTTTACTCCCAAAAGAGAATTTATTATGACATATTTTCTTTATCATATTCTTTAGAACTCTTTACCCGCAACCCAGAACTTTGATGAGAACTCGTGCAGCCCTACAAACAATAGCGATCAGATGTAAATGTTCTGAAATTCACAGGTGTTTTGACTATAACTTTTAAAAAATGTTGCTTTAGTTCTCTTCAGTAGGTAAAGAGTTTTGAAGATTATTTTAATAAAGTTTTGTCTTAGTTTGAATATTTTGAAAGTTATGAGAAAAAATTAAGTTGTCATTTAAAATTTCTTTGTAGAAATAGTTAAACATTTTTTTGGGAACAATATTTAATTGTTCTGGGTTGTGCCATTAAGCTCAATTAAGGCTTGCTCAAAACCCCACTTCCCCTAACCACACATGGAATTCATATAATATAGAGGAGAGAAGCGGAATGCAATGTGAGAATTTTTTAAGGAAGTATGGCAAGAGAAAACAATTCCAATAGTGTGGGTTTGGTTATTAACATTCAGAAGAGGGAATTCCAAGGAGATATGTTGCAATTGTAGGGGCATTATATTGCTATCAACAGCTTCTAAGCTTTATGCAAACATGCTGAGGAACAGACTCAATGAAATATGTGACAATTTCATGGGACAAGAGCAATGTGGTTTCTGAAAGGGTAGAATCACTAAAGACGCCAATACAGATGTTAATAGACAACAGAAGGGAAGGAATCTACCAACTTTTATAATATTTACTGATTATGAAAAGGCTAACAACAAATTTAATGGACAGAAACTCAGGGAAATACTAGAAGAGGATTAAGTTCAAATGAGTTGCTGAATGCAATACAAAGTCTACAAGAACTCGAGAATTAAAATATTGTTAGGAGATAGGGAAAATGTCAGCAGCTATAACAACCAACAGGCAAAGATGTGACTTATCACCCATCCCCTTCAACATATATATTAACCAATTAGTGTGAAACTGGAGAGGGAATGTTCAACAAGGAATGCAGATCACAAAAGACAACAAGATAGATACAATCTTGTATGCTGATGACCAAACTAGCGTAATGGATTGTGAAGATAATTTATGAAGAGCAGTTTTTGAATTGACGAAAGTTGCCCAAGAATATTCCATGAAGACAGCAAAACGTCTGACTGTCTGTCTGTGATCAACACTTGTGCCTAAACCGGTCAGACGATTTTCTCCCCAAATTTGTATTCTCGATCGTTCTAAACAAACTCAGTCCTGCGAGTTTGAAATAGATGTTTAGATTTTGGGGTGTATGTAACGTGCATGACGCCTCAATATTTTCAAAAATTTGTCAAAAATGGCTCCAATTTTTTTAGCGTTCCTAAAACTACAGTATTGAAGATACAGATTTTTATTTTCTTACTTTTCTTCATGAAAAGAGGTAGTGTTATAATAGTGCCCCAGAAAACTGAGTTTTCGACAGATAAAACTCATTACTGGGCCTGTCTACGAAAAATTGGATAAATCTTGTTACTATGGAGTAAATTACTTCCTCTTACATGTGGAGTATGTGTTAGAGGGGTCATGTTTTGGGTATCCTTGATACTGAAAAATCTATTGTCGACAAAACGACTGCCTGGCTGTGGTGGAGCTAGCGTCTGAACTGTTGAGACGATTTTCTCCAAAATTATTCTTCGGTCTGTTGAAAGAACTCAGGGCTCTACGAGTTTGAATCTAATATTTTGATTTTTGGTGGTACTCTACATGAGACCTCAATTAAAGTTTCAAAAGTTTCTGAAAAATGGTTTCTAAATTTTGTTCTGGAATAGTGTAAATGATTGGCACTTAAAAGTGTGGCTCAGGTTTAATTTTTGTTGAAATTCATGATTTTTCGAAAATTGAAAATTTTCTAAAGGCTCTAATTGTTTTTCAGCATCTTCCTGCTACTACAATATTGAAAATAGAGATTTTCTTTAATAATATAAGTTCTTCAAAAAATCTTCAAATAACATCAAGGACAATTTTTTAAAAATATGAGTAGTTTTTGTGTAATTTTGCATGGAATTCAGGCAATTGATTAAAAAATGCATTTAAAAAAAACTCAATTGTTTCTTTACATTTTCTTTTATGTATGGAATGTATTAAAGAACTGAAAAAATATGGTGCTATCATGATTTATGGTGAATTCTCTTTGATTTTCAAAAACTGGAAAATATTTAATACTACAAAACTACAAATTTGAAGTTGGAGATACTTGTCTTAAGTTAAATTAGTTCTAAAAGTTCAGATATGTAAAAAAGCTATGTACTTTTTTTTTTTTTTCATATAGTTAGTTTTCAGCTAATTTATGCTTGAAGTCAATGCAAGTTACAAAACAACGTTAAAAAGCTCCATTTTTTTTTACGAATGTAATAAGGAACGTTTAAAAGATTGGAGCAGGCCTCATTTCTGTTGAGGTCTTTGATTTGTTGAAAATTCCCAATGTTAGAAATAGTGCAAGAAGGTATGTACTGTTGTGACATCACTAGTTTCCTTAACATAATCTGTTCAAAAACAGACCTTGAAGTAAAGTCACGTACCTCCAACGAATTTTCGAACATTCAGAAAGTTAATCGACAATGCAAACGGCGCCATTTTTTAAACGCCCCGTGCTCTATCCTTTAAGAAAAAATGGTCGCGATTTTCATATTTTTTATTATTTGCATTACCCTCAAGCAAAAATTACACGAAAACTCCTTTTTCGAAAAATATTGTTCATGATCTGATTTTTACTTTCTCGCAATTTTTGAACATAAATAATTCAACACAAAAATCTTCATCTTCAAATTTGTAGCTTTGCTACGTTAACTTTTTTCAGTTTTTGAAAATTTCAGAGGGTTCACCAAAAATGGGACTAGCTCCAATTTTTTACCATTTTTCCGTTCTCGCACTAACATAAAAAGAGAAAGTATTGTAATCGTGCGTCGAAAAACTGCGACACAAAAACACTTATTGCCCGGCCGTGGTAACGAAAAAGTGGATAAATTCAGTTGCTAAATATAGAAAAGCGCTCTCCTGATGGGGGAGGAGGGGGCGTTGGTGGCCCTTAGGGCGGCTTCCCACGGCGCGGCCGCGGCGCACTTCCTTCAAGGAGCAGAGCTCTTCCGACGCAGCCACACCGGAGCCCACGGTGCCGCGTCCGGGCCGCCTCGCCGTGTTATTGAGCAAAATGGGGTTGGGGTCTGGGAGGGTAGGTTTCGCCGACCCTCCGGCGACGACGAACAAAGGGACCGGAGCAGGTAGAACGCTGCGGCAGCGGCCAGTGGCGAACGCTCCCATTTAAATCTTTCTGCTGAGGTGTGCGCGTGGCCCCTCCTCCGCTTCGCGTAGCTGGAGTTCGGCGTCGGCTGCCGCAGCAGCCGCCACCCGCCCTGCAGCGTGGCAAAAGCCCTTCCACCTTCAACATGGACCAATCGCTAACTGCTACGCGCCGCGCTGCTGCGCGCCGCGCTGCGGCCGCGCCGTGGGAAGGGGCCCTTATTCTGGTGCAGGCAACCGGTTGGTGCTCGCGCGGCGCCAGGTGGTCTCTCGCCGAGTGCGTGTAGTAGCGCTGCCTGAGATCGCGTCTGCTACTATTTTCTCTCTTCTATAGAACTATACACAGAGCTATGCAAGTCACCACAACTAAATCTCAGTACAATAACTAAGATCGTAACGTTAAATGGCTTGTAACTGAATGTGTGTTTAAAGGGAGAGGAGGCGGCAAGGATGAGAAAGAGAAGGTCGCGTGCAGTCCGTGGTCCGCTTCGTAAGACACTTCAACATTCGCTGGCATTGATCGGAGGAACCACGGAAAATTTCCGATCAGAGCAGACAGCTCTGATCCAGAAAGTGTCTGGATTCGACAAGGTCCTGTATGTAGAATAAAATTAAAAAAATCAATTTAAAAAAATCGTCGTGTGTACTCGAATCCTAGAATGTCCCTGTTGGGGACATTCCAATGGCTACTGTTGTCTTGAGTCATCTCAGCCAGTAACATGGTTTTCTTTTTAACTTAAATATATCGCGAAAACGGGTAAGATCGCAAACATTACGTGAAAAGGTTAAGAAAAGGTCTTTAGGAAGATATAATTCATCCAAGGTTATAAAATAAACTACTAGTGCTACAGAAAGGCACAGACTCTCGTACGGGTGGGTTCCTAATCTCTTAGGGCTTGCTTTTCGTTTTGCCCCTTCTTTCCAGCTGGGACATATCGGTGCTAAAAGATATTTCAGACATTTTCTCAGTTTTTCAGTGTCCTTAGTATTGACAGAAAAATACGACTTCAAGAATGTAATAGAAAAATAAAAAACCTCGTCCTGTATTTAAATTTCCATTAAAAAAATTGTAGTCGGTTTTGAA